AATGTCGTGATTTACATCCATTAATTCTTGCACTTTTATAATTAATTAATACCTAAATGTGCTAAGTACACTTATATTGTGATTTAGGTTGCATTTGGATGATCATGGTATAAAATAGAAGAAAAGAGCGAAAAAAGGACTTAAATGGAAGAAATTGAAAGTTCAGGGACTAAGTTGCAAATAATCCCTAGATGAGATGAGCAATGGAATGAAGATTAAAGATGTTACGGGTTCAATTGGACACAATTAGAAGTTCAAGGGTTGAAATTGCAAGAGAAACAATTTAAAAGAATAAAAAATTGAATTTCGGACTAAAATATAACTTTTGGAAGAAATTTTGCTTGGGCGACAGCCCAGTTATAAAATTCAGGCGACCGCCCAACATCAAAATTGAATTACCGAAGTCAAATGCCATGCTTGAGAGACTGCTTGAGTTTTGCCTGGGCGACAACCCAGATCAATCACGGTGAGGAAAATCTGGTTTTCTTTGCTGATTGAAATTCTTATGGAAACAAATCTTAGGGAGTCTTTTAAAACCTTAAAGATGTCCAAAAGGAGGATACCACTCATTATACCATATTCAGAAGGATTTTTTCTCTCTTTTTTCTTAAGGATTATTGATGTATTGTTAAACTTCATCTCTTGGTCGAAGGATATTGAAGCCTAGAAATTTTTCAAACTGTGAAATCTAAATAAATTTCATTATTTTCATTCATATTTTATGTATTGGGTATTCTTTTATGCATGATTTTATGGTTGTTGTATTTAAATTCGAAGAGGCCTATTAGAAGTTCATGTACTTCGATTGACTGCTTGTTTAAAGAACAAATACGTAATGGTTTGATATCTTTGACATATGAAGCAACTAGAGTTTGATTAATTGAAGCTTTAGATGTTATTAAATTCTAGGGAGGATATTTGACTAGATTAAACATGACTGCTTGTGATTGTGTTGTTTAGTTTCATCGATTTCTCTATTTTCCCATGCTATTATTAATTTAAATCTTAAGCGCTTTTTTGGGTTATTTGATAATAAGGATTGATTGGATCGCATGTTTTCTGGTTAATTACAACTAAGGAGAAATATGAAATATAAATTCCAACGATGAATGCTAAAAATATGAATTGGTAATTAGTTATGGATCTACAATCAGTTTCAAATTCTTATGGCGGATATTAACTTAGACCAAGGTTCGTTCTATTGATTTAATCCAATTTTTTAATTTGCATTGCTTTTAGTTAGAATTGATTTCATCACAAAAAAACCCCCGTTAATGTTAACATTGCATAAAATTACACTAATCACTCTTCGTGGGAACGATCCTTATTTCCATTACTACATACATTTTTTGGAAGCGTATGTTTTATTATTTTTGGGTGCCTGTGACAGCACGCCACCAGGCTCGGACCAATGATTCTCATTGGTCTTACCAAAGATGATTGAGGACTTGGGTGTTTTATTTTTCCATAATTGCACCTGGGGGTCCTCAAAATATCGTCCCTCAGGTATTTAGTCCTTAAGTATGAATTACAATCGGAAAGGTCCACATGGGTGACCATTTTTGAAAGTTTTTAAACTTAAGTAAGCATTAGTGTAACCGCCTGTAAGTTCAATGATCGTTACTGAAAGTTTTAAACTTCAGTGAACATTTGTGAAATAAGCCCAAATTTAATACTATTTTTGAAGGATATAATATGCTTGAAGCATAATTCAAGTGATATTATCATGAGAGAAGTATATACGTATTGTACTTTTTTCCTTGACTAAAGTTTTGTTCCCTTGAATTTTCATGTCGAGGTTTTTAACCAGATAACTTTTGTACCGTATTCAAAAGAAAAATGTACTCTTTTTCCTTCATTATTTTTCCCATAGAATTTTTTCTAACAATATTTTAACGAGGCATATTCTTTGTGTAATACCATAACTTCAAAGATATTTACCCTCAAAATCATACTCTGATAAATATAGGACTCTCAAAGAAGTTAACAAAAGTTATTTTTTGAAGTATCATGCTACTACAGTCATCAAGTTTTGTTCCTTTGAATTTTCTTGAAAACGTTGGAGTACAAAATATTAATATTGAAGACATTTACATATGAGACATGGATCGCTTGATACAAGAATTGAAATAAGGGGGAGTAGACGTACTATTTTTCTTTTGATCAAGTTTTGTCCCACTGAATTTTTTTATAAGATTTTTAACGAGACAGTATTTTACTACTCCAAATTATTTTTACTCTATTTTTCACATGTTGACATTTTATTCCCATCTAATTTTTGCCAAATAATATTTCAATAAGATAGTTATTGAATAAATAGTCATGCAAATAAGAGTGTTGTAAATATAGTAGTATTTATGAATGACTTTTATACTCCTACAGTCCTAGTCATTATGACTGTTGTACTACTTATAACTCTAATTATTCTTTATAAATATGGGACTTTGATTTTTAATAAAACATATAAATTTATTGACTTCTATTTTTTTCTCTAATTTATAACATTATATTTATTCATTTTAACCTTAGTTTTTAACGTGTATTACTTGCATAACCAACGTCGATGAAAACCAACAAGTTTCGAAATTAAAATGGTCAAGGCACTAAAATTTTTCAAAAAATTGTAGATGGAAAATTTAGGGCCTATTCTCTTTACTATTTTCAAGCTATTTTAAGTTTTTAATTTTCGAGAACACTGAAAACACGTTTACTTACCCATTTTCAAAAATAATTTTTCAAAAACGAGTTAAAAATTTACATAGAAAATAGAAGACGCCAAAAGGACATTTTGGCTATTTTCAGTTAAAACAAGCCAAAACTTCAAAAATACGAAAAATGGACAAATTTTGCCAATAGTGGGATAGTTTAGTTAGGAGAGTCACGAAATTTCTGAAGGTCACGAATTCGATTCTGTTTCAACGTAATTCAATGCAAATAGATTTTCTTTTTATATACTCATTACAAGAATTTTCAAATAACTTGGGAGGTGCCAATAGAAAGTAAAGTGTTGTTCATTTTTTATTTTTTTTTTGAAAATAATTTTTTAAAATGACAAAAAGAACGCGTTTTTTAACAATATCAAAATGAACACTCGAAATACAAAAATTCAAAATGAATTCAAAACTCAAAATTAAAAACTGAAATACGAAGAGAACAACCCTTAGGCGTTACAAATG